AAATATAGACCAACTAGGTAGAATAGTGCTGTATATTAAATTGTTTCACTGCCAATTGAGAGTGAGTGTGTGAAGCAGAAGATTGGTATTTGCTGTATTTCTCTTTCTCATAAACCCTATTAGTGATCTCCCACTTCAGCACTTCACTTGTTGGGTAGTCCCCATTCTCCAAATGCCACTAGGTCACAGAGGGAACATCAGCCCAGAAATAATTACTATGGCAATTTGGCACTCACTCCACAAATTATATCTAGCAGTTGCATGTGAAATTGTTTGTAGAAATCATCTGGCTCTTACTAAGTTAGTTTAATAATGGAGCTTGTTTTGTTACTGCTGCTATTATGCTGAAGGCCGTGATTAAGATTTGTTTTCCCCTCTTGCTGATGGAAACACCTTCTAGCAAAAGCACGAGAAATTAAGCCTTTGGTGCTACACAGTGCTTTGTTGGAACAAGGTGTCCTGTCTTAATGTCTGTTCAAAATATATGTTTACTGATATTGACTCTCTGGGGAGACCCATCCAAATGCTGTATTTCATGCACATAATAGATTATTTGAGCTCTTCCTCATATCAGTAATTAATTGATGCAGAGACAACAGTAAGATGTCCCACTACTTAGGTGACTGTTAAGCCCAAACTGAACTATCATTCTTCTTTGTACAGAGAAGGAAAGACACCAGGAAAGACAACACTCCTTTCTGAAGACAAACCAGCTCTTTGTTGCAGTGAGATACATTGCCCTCAGATTGAATTTGATCCATCTCCATCCTTAAGGGGTGTTCTCAGGACACGTATGCGGACAGTCTAGCATGTCAGCATTGTCCCAGCAGCAGTATTTTACCCAGCTTTTAACCACCTTGCTAAGTGAACCAGGAATCAGCCTCTCCTGTGGCAGCAGGAGGTTCTGCAGCAGACCTTGTAGGTGGGATTTTAAAAGAGGGATAATAGATACTGTCAAAGGTAAATACAGCATCCTTATAATTTGGACACTACAGGACTTCTGTAGCTGCTTTCAGAATGTATCCAAAGAATATATCCCACAGCCTAAGGCCTCTGGAAAAAGAAAACAGGCAGTGTACTACTGAAGAACAGTAAACAACAGGGAATGGGGTGGTTTGTGTGCGTGCATACTCATGCTTTTTGGGCTTTACAGACACACGAGAGGAGTTAGAGGACAGCAGGTACTGCACATTTGCTGATTCTCCACAACTATACACATGCATATCATTAGCAAATGCCAGGCAATGCAAGTCAGTTTGGGCATCTTTCCCT